GGACACTTCCCTGAGAACAGTATGAGCAACTTCTAGAAAACACTTGTAAACATTAGTGGGAAAGAATTTTAAAATAAAAGAACTTTTTTATATACTAATTATTACTCATTCATTCATTCTTTCATTTTCCTTCAGCTTAGTCCCTTGTTTATCAGGGGTCACTACAGCGTAATATACTGCCAACTATTCTGGCAAATGTTTTATGCAGCGGATGCCTTTTCAGCCACAACCCAGTACTGGGAAACACATATACACTCTCACATTCACCTATACTATCTGTCTTTGGACTGTGGGGGAAACCGGAGCACCCAGAGAAAACCCATGCAAACATATGGAGAACATACAAACTCCACACAGAAATGCCAACTGACTCAGTCGGTGCTATTCACTGAACCACTGTGCTGCCTCTCCTCATTATTAGACAACTTTAATTACTATTTATATGGAGATGACACTCATATTTACATTAATTCTACACCTGGAGAAACTTTTCTTTCACAACATGATAAAACTTGGATGAAAAAAAAATTACCTGCATTTGAATGATTGATAGATTGAAGTTTATTGTCAAAGTTAAATCCTTAATTTTAAACTTGGGTCTTAAGGCTTTATTTTTCTCTAGATTTTTTTTTTTACGAATCATAATTTGCTAGGGCTGAAAATATGATCTCGACTCCTCAAATTGCATAATTTTAACAGTCCCACAGTCTTGTCTTCACACCATAGGTGAAAGAGCCTTTACTTCTTACACCTCTCAGACACACTAATTTCCCATGATATTAGAAATCACAGTTTTAAAATGAGACCTTAAAGTCTGCACGAAATCAAAATGTACTGTTTATTTTTTTAGCTTACATTATTAATATTATAGTCAATAATTAATACATGCACGCTAGTCCACTGAAAAAAATTAAATGTATCGCACACTACACACTTGCTAATTGGTGGAGAGGAGACAGAGTGATGAAGCCAATTATGGTATGGGGATGGTATGGCCATGATGGACAGAGGCCAGTGGGCAAATTTGGCCAGGATGTGTTAAACCCCAACTTTTTTTTTCGAAGGACATCCTGGGATTTTTAATGACCACAGAGAGTCAGGACAACAGATTAACATCTTATTCGAAAGATGGTGGTCAATGAGCAGTCCCAATTAGACGTCTGCATTAATAATAATTAATACATTTTCGAATAAATCGTGGTAGCGGTCGATAACTCTGGTGTAATTTGAATGGGAGCGGGTGGTCTAACAATATAGCCCAGCGTTCCTGAGAGATTAGCAAAAGAGAGAGAGAGAGAGAGAGAGAGAGAACATGGTACTGTGTGTGTGTGTTTGTGAATGAGGGAGAGAGCGCACATCCATCATGGTGCTGTGTGTGAATGAGAGAGAGCGCTGTGGTGCTGTGTGTAGTTTTGTTAAAGGCTGTCTGGACTCTAGCATGCAGCTAGGTGGTTTTTTTTTTTTTTTTTTGGAAGGCATTTGAATCACTATACATTTTACATTCTTCCTTGACCCAATATGTACCTGTTATGTGTATAGCTGGTCACACTTTTTTTGATGGTCCATTTGTTGAATTTAAGTTACATTGCATCTACATGCCAACCAATTCTCATTAGGTAATAAGTAGACTGTTGAATTGGGGTTAAGGTTCGTGTAAGATGTACTTGCAAAGTTTCTTATTGTCAGTAGAGGAGCAGTATTAATAGATATTAAGCAGACAGTCTACTAATACTCAAATAGACCTTCAAAATACAGTCTTACCAGAATGCTGATATGATGTATGAAACACAATCTGTAGTTGGCAAATATTTTGAGTGTATATGTATGTTTCACAAACCTTACCGCACATCACACGGGGCAAACAAAACTGACATTTACTCTACAATCCTTGCTCAACCTACAGTTTTATCTATTATCTTTCTCTTTTGGTAGTACCCAATTTTAACGTGAAAAAAACAGATCTAAATTTCAGGTCAGGTAGAAAACGGGGCGGGGTGGGCAACGGGAGAACAAAGGCTGAAAATACAGCGGGAGTGGTCGGGTGGGGATTAAAACCTGGTGGGAGCGGGACTAAAAATACAGTCCCACACAGACAATATACTGGGGTGTTAGGACCCACACAGACCACCCCCTGCTGGTCTCACTAACACCACTTCCAGCAGCAACCTAGCTTTCCTATGTGGTCTCCCATCCAGGTACTGACCAGGCGCAGCCCTGCTTAGCTTCAGTGGGCAATCGTGTGAGAGTTGCAGAGAGGTAGTTGCCGGCTACCTCTGCTAGTTTATTTCTGCAGGATAGTGTTTAAAGTCTGTTTTGTGTGTTCTGGCTGTAAAGTTGCTATGTACAGTACAGTTTATTAGTGTCAGTAGATTGTCATTTTGGGTGAACTATCCCTTTAAGTGCTGGAGTTGTTCAAGTACTGAAGAGGTCAGTAGAAAACAGTCGTCCACCAGGGATTTTGGGTGCCTTTTGTGACAGGCAATAAACACATTGAGAGAGACAGCTGAATGTCACCCTCACACACCGCTCTGACAGCAGCCTGGAGGAAGTGATGTCATAAAGAGAGGGATGGGTTGTTTCTTTGCTTTGAAATAGAAGCCCAATGAATGTGCTGTGTTTTACACTCACCGCTCACCTGCAGTTCTCTTTAAATGTTGCTTTTTCTGCTTGATTTATGAATTCTCCCATGCGGTTATCAGTTAGTTGCAGTTGGTGGTCAGCTTCATTTATCATTGATGTGGTGGGGGTGTGCTCGGTGACGCCATTGGTTGGGGAAGTGGGATTAAATTAGCAGAATCAATGGATTTGGAATTAAAAATAACCAATGAATTACTAATACTGTGTGCTATTATCAATCTAGTGCAGCTGCTTTATACTGAAAGCCAGTGATATTGACCAGGAATCATCCCAGTGGAATATTTTTTAGCATATGTGGACGTTAAGTGGATGTTCCCAGATTGTTGCTGTGTTTAGGTGTGGTCAATAATCTTTTAAGCCAAGTCTATCTGAGTTTGACATTACAACACTGCGATTAACATGAAAGAGGAAATGAGCAGATGATCTATTGTGGTTCCACCCAGATTTGACAGGAATGACCGTAGTCAGGAAGCTTTCCGGATTTACATTAATGTGGAAATTATTTAGATTTTATAGAGGAATGAGGACAAGATTCTCGAATTGTGGAAAGTGGTGTAAAGGGGATTTTTTTTTTAAATGAGTTATTTTTTTCTGTGTGGCCCTGCTTCACAATACAAGCTCTTTAATGTCCTTACACACACACAGACACACACACAGACACACACACATTCATACCATTCTCCCAAAACCGCACTATTCTGTTGATTGAAGTGAAGAATTTGAGTGGGTACATTAGAACAAAACATATGCTCCTTCTCTCTCTTTCACACACAGACTGTGGCCTGACTTTTAGGAAAGAAGTTGAATGTTTCAGCTTCTCCATTTCTCCATTACACAAAGCAAATTCATTGAAAGCCTGTTTTGACATTAAAAATAACTGTGTGGGAGATGTATGAAGTGTGTAAGGTAAGAGATGATTCAGTGAAAATGAATGACATATGAATGCTATAGGGTATTTCACAGAAACAATATTTGATTACAATATTCTATTATTTGACCCTCACATCTACTCTCTTTATTTGATTTAAAAAGAGCAGGAACTGATAGATAGTGAAGATCTTTTCAAATGTTCTCACAAGTAGGATTTTCTAATTTCACTGGATTTGCAAGGAAGATTTCTAAAGTGACCTTCAAAGCTGCGGTAAAACCTGTACAAGAACACACAAAGAAACACACACATACAGAATGTGCATATAGATTACTTTTGAATTAAATTCTGCATAATTTTGGGTTTATATATAAATGCAACATAAATATAATAAATGGAGTTTGCATGTTCTCCCTGCGTTCGCATGGGTTTCCTCTTGGTACTCCGGTTTACCCCACAGTCCAAAGACATGCGGTACAGGTGAATTGGGTAGGCTAAATTGTCCGTAGTGTGTGTGTGGGTATGTGTGGATGTTTCCCAGAGATGGGTTGCGGCTGGAAGGGCATCCGCTGCGTAAAAGCTTGCTGGATAAGTTGCCGGTTCATTCCGCTGTGGCGACCCCAGAATAATAAAGGGACTAAGCCGACAAGAAAATGAATGAATGAATATAATAAATAAATGATAAATAAAATTAATTATAAATTATTACATAATATTCTAAACAAAATATTTATTATACATTAAAATGTGGTTCCTGGGTGCTCCGCTTTTCCCCATAATCCAAAGACATGGGGTATAGGTGAATTGGGTAAGCTAAATTGTCCATAGTGTATGTGTGAATGAGAATGTATGGGTGTGTCCCATGGTAAAACATATGCTGGAAAAGTTGGTGGTTCATTCCGCTGTGGGGACCCCAGACTAAAGGGACTAAGCCAAAAAGAAAATGAATGAATAAAATGTGGTGCTATTTTTTACATTTTGTATTTGTTTATTTTTTTATTATTTGTTATTGTTGTAATTATTATAATAGTTTATATAAATTTAGAAATAAATAAACATTGGGCATATTTAATGAATGAATGAATGAATGAATGAATGTTAAGACGTAAATGGCACGTTCCTGTCAATAGATTGCCTCCCCTTGTCTTGCTCAGATGGTACAGTCCGTTTAAAGAGCCGCTCAGAGTCTCTCGTGCGTTCAACTCTCTCTACGAGCGCGCGCGGCGGCAGGAGTCGTTTAGTGAAGCACGCTGTTTTATTCTCTCCCGAGTGTCCGTGTCTCTCTGTTTATCTTTCTCCCTGACAGCCACATCTACACATTAGACAGCATGACACTTTAAAAATCCGCCCTCAGCTTGTGGATTCTGGGGGATTTCTGCGCTTATTAAAGAGAGGACACAGTCAGAATGGGATTTTTGTAAGCTTATGATGCAGCAGGCGATATGACTCGCTCCGTGGGTTCCGTGGATTCTTCCCGCAGGCGAAGATCCGGAGAATGATGGAGGAGAATAAGCAGCTCGCTCAGCGGATCGATGGCGCGATCCAGTGCGCGAAGCAGGATGTGGCGAACCTGCGCGCGGAGCTCACAGCCACCGGCCACAGACTGGCAGAACTCGGCGAGCTGGAAGAACCGGGAGAACCGCAGGAACATCAGCAGCAGCAGCAACAACAGAACCACCAGGGTAAGAATCTGCACCTGTGACCGCTTATGTCACTTACCTGTGTGACCTTCGAGTGACTGACAGAAAGTCTCTTTCTCTCTGATTCAGTGTAATGAGACTCTGTTTTCACTTCCATCATTAACAAATAGAGTTCTTCAGGACACTTTTGAGAGAATAAGTGTTTTAGTAAAATGATTGTTCACTGAAAAATGAAAAAAAATACTGTCAGTTTGCTCAGCCTCTGGCTACTTCAAGATGTAGGTGACATTTTTGTTGAGGAAAACCTTTTTTTTGAAAAGAAGATTTTTATTTTCTCACTTAAACCATGTTCCTTGGTGGTTTTGGTACACATTTAGAATATAAAAAAACACATACAGTTAAAATATAATTAATACTCAAAGATTCCTGATGATACATTGAGCTGTTATCAAGATTGTGGTAAAGTTGGTTTTTATATTCACACATTTAGACTTTCTCCTTACTAATATAATTTCAGAAATGTATTCTTTGTAAATTATAAATAGTGAAATCATGTAAGCATTATGATGACTATCAAAGTACTACGTTGTTCACGGTCAAATAAAAAGGGTTAATGTTGTTTTGAAGTCATACTTACATGTGATTTCAAGTTAAATATTCAAAGTACCACGATCAACAATATACAGGGAGCATGTCATTGAATGAATGTGCGAATATAAAATCAACTTTACCTAGTCTTATTAGGGATCCTAGCAAAAACGAAACTTAACACCACTTGTTAATATTATTATTGTATTATTAATGTATTGCTGCATGTAGCCATTGTCTTGCATTCTACAAATCACCACGGTTTCAGCTGAGCATCTTAAAACATTTTACTGAAGGAAAAAGTCAAATATTTAGGATAGCTTGAGATTGAGAAATTGATTGCAAATGTATTTTTTGGGTGAACTATTCTCTCAAGAAAGAGTGTTTATGGTCATCAACATGTTTCAGATGTTATTAGAGGAAATGTTTACCCTGTGTTGATGGCAAAACAGCCAACCACAGTTGATGCAGTCGAATTTGATTACTACAATGTCAAAACCTTAAATAATTATTATGAACTGTTACATAACTGTCATAGTTGTCACCATTCCTAGAAAATTTTTGTGGCACATTAGATCTTTCTTCTACTTGAACAAGACTTTATCCACAAGGAGGCTGTTTTACTGTGAACCCACGTAATGTAATCGAGCGTGGCTCTTGTTTCAGGAAATGGCCCTTCATTTCATTTTCCATTAATGCTGTCAGGCTAAGTGTACCACACTACAGATGAGAGAGTATATAAGGCTGTCCTGCCTTTCTGTATGTGCTGTTGTTGTGGCCATTCATTGATTGATTGTTCAGTCTTCTGTCTAATCTGTGTGGCGTAGCTTTGGTTTTGAGTCTCTTGGGAGTTCAGAGCGAATCTCTGTTTGAGATCCACCTGCGCTCACTTTGTGGAGTAGACACCCTGGGCTGGTGTGGGTCGTAACATTTAACAGATGCTTTTTATCTGAAGCAAACCTACTGTACCCTGCGGTTGTGTGCCTCGCTTGAGGGCATGATAATGATGAATCTGGACTGAGATTTCCATAATTACTCCACAATTTCTAAAAATTGCTGATGCACTGAATGTGCCTAAAGTGACAGTGCGGCTTTGTTTCGCTGTGCAAACACACAGCCATCAATGGACACTTTTGTTCTACTAAAAGCAAGGTTTGATTTGTTTGGGTATGCTTTGATGAACATGCAGTACATTGAGCTATACAGATTGTTTTTACTAAATTTAAATGAAAACAAATTCTTCTATAAATTAAAAGGATATTTTTATTCACCACATACAGTGAAAAACTTTAAATGGTTTAATAGCATATGGAATTTATTCCGTAATTTGCTACAACGTGTATGTTTTTTGGTTAGTGAATACTGTATTGATATTTTCAAAGCAGTTGAAAGACATTACCAGAATCTTCTGCATGACAGATCACATATTATATTTTTAATTTTTCATATACTATTTATTTAGTAATGATTAAAATAATTATTTTAGCTCCCATATTGTAATGCCAGAAAAATAAACAATTGCTTTGATGATAATTGGTATCTCTGGATTTTCTGGATTTATTAGGCATGAGTTTAGAAGTATTAATGCTTATTTTATTGTAAAAAGGTTTATAAACATTGCTACCATATTTCAAATTTAAAAAATGTCATTTTGTAGGGATACACCGAATAGAAAATTCTTGGCCTAAACCGAACAAGAGAAAACCAAGGCCAAAACACCGAAATAGATTATGGCAATTATTAGTACTATTGCATTTATGGCTATGACTGTCTACTAATCTTACTAAAACCATGTCATCACAATTGCGTAAAATATTATTGAAGTTTCAAAGAATAAATCAATTACAAATTATGAAAATATTTATTTAGCACATTGCAACAATGGGTTATCACTTCTGGGGATGTGGACATCAGAGTGATATTTCACTGATATTTGAGAAAGATTTGTGGGACTATTTAAATAGTTCCAGTGCGCAAGTTAACATTTTTGTCAAAGAAAAAATATCTAGCAGAAATATGGCTGCTAATCTCATAGTCAAAACAGAATAGCCTATACCTATTATATTTTAAGGCAGAAAACCAAAATGCCCATTTGAGCCATTTTTGGCAGAAATGTTTTGGTGGCTGAAATGAATATTCAATTTATGCCTATCATTTAGAGCTTTTTTTCTCCAAAATATGAATTTTGTTCAGACAGAATAAAAAATGTTTTCATTTGTTGTGACTGGAAATTAGTATTACGTATTACTGTCTAAAATAGGGCTGCAGGATATTGGAAAAGTCAAATAATTGGAAAATAAATATTGCGATAAGAATACAGTTCGACATGAAAGTTTGAATAGAAATATTTGATGGTTTTCAAATATGAGAGCCTAACAGTATTCAGGTACAAACATTGAATAATCACAATGGGAAAAAATTATTTTCTTATTTTGTTTTGTCTGGTTTCTAATCTAAATATCAAAAAATCTTGGAGCAAGTAAAATATTGTTTCGTAATCAACATCAGAAGAATAAGTCAAAATTTAGAGTTAAAACAAGCTAAAATTTTTTTGCAACTGGTGTTAGCAAATTAATCTTGTTTTAACTTTGAAGTGCAGATATTTGGACTAGAAACAAAACTAATTTCTAAGAAAGAATTTTTCATTTTAAATCATAGAAATTCTTTATACATACAGTAATACGATTCTGTAGCTCCTGGTCAACTATAATTCAGACTCATTTGCATAACCTGTGATGTGACTATTGCAGATGCGCACATTGCAATATCGATGATGAACTGATATATTGTGCAGCCCTTGTCTGAAAACATGCCAGATTTTCATTTCATACAAAAAAAAAAAAAAAAAAAAACTAATCTTTACTTTAATGGCAATATTTTTGTTTTTATTTTGAAAGAAATGCCCTAGAGTAAAGCAAGCAAAAAAACAGAATAAACAAAATTAGTTTTACTCAAACTCATATCATTTACTCAAACCATAAATTGTAAATTCAAAGAAAAGGTGACTTTTTACTGTATATGAAGCAGAATACATTTTTTACAAAAATTTTTTTAACCGTATTTCAAAAAACGATGGTCGTAATGAGGTCAGATAAGTTGTATAATTATCATTTTTAATTTGTCCAATTATTAGTCAGTTTACATGCAGTATTTATTTAATAAGCAATCGTAAAGCAAGTGGAATAATGTAGCCACAGTTTTTTTGCAAAACAAATTCCTTCTAAATATTCATGATATTGACTTGCTGTACACTATGAATACCCATATGATTCTGCTATGAAATGACTTTAAAGCATATAAAATGCTTGTATTCCTCAGTAGAAACTCGTCTCATGCCCACAGATGAATTCTAACACTCGGAGGATCACCATGAGGCTCTTGCCTGCAGCTCTCTCTGATTTCATTCAGCACTTCATTGAGAGCTCAGCAGATTGTGATCTTGTGTCTAATGTCCCACATCCACTCCAGGAGAGGCACTTTTCTGCCTTGGGCTTGGTTTGTGTGTGCTCGTCAAAGACGAATAGAGGTTTTCTATTTCCTAAAATGATGACAATTATATATTTTTTATATCACACTTTACAAAAGAACCCCATTAAAATGTCATTCAGTGTAACAGTATAATAGCAAAAAAAAAATCTTGTCATGCAATTTTAGACAGAGTCAGCTAATGCCGTATTAAAAGAATCACAGTACAGCTATACTACTTAATTGTCATTTTAAGTCTGCATACTTTAACTATTTAAGGATTACAGTGCAGCTGTAATATAATTGTTAATTGTCATTAAGTCTTTATACTTTACCACTATCTTTTAAGGATTGCAGTACAGCTCTAATATACTCTTTAATTGTCATTAAGTCTTTATATATTACCGCTATCTTTAATGATTGCAGTGCAGCTCTAAGATACTCATTAATTCTCATTTTAAGTCTTTATATTTTTCAGCTATCTTTAGGGATTGTCCTGCAGCTCTAATATGCTCATTAATTCTAATTTTAAGTCTTTATTTTAAGTCTTTAAGTATTTATACTTTACAGCTATCATTAAGAATCACTGTGCAATTCTAAGATACTCATTAATTGTCATTTTAAGTCGTTAAACTTTACCGCTGTATTCCTTACCACTAGATTTTTACATTTTTGCCACCAATACTGAATATTTTTAATAAATGAAAACACATTTTAATAAAGTACAGGTCAGAATAAGTATCCATACTTGTCAACCTTCTTGTTTTTGTGTATTTTACCTTTCTATCCTGCTCTCATCTCGTTTAAGTATTTTCTCATATTTGTCCCGTATTTTTAATCTTTCTATTAGAAGTGAAAGAACCATCAAAGAGCCGATTTCAAATGTGATATAATTGCAAGAGCTGTTCAAGAGAATTATGCTTTCACTTTGTTTTGGTTTGAAAGTACCTTGAAATTAATATTAAAACAGAAACATTCACCTTTCCTAT